GTCTTGTTCGTTAAGTGATCTTGGACACCTTGACCCTTGCACCACAGCTCAACCGAGGAAGCCCAAGATAAATAGTTTGAACTTCCCAATAAAAGTTCTGAAGTGATTATAGGGCTAGAACTTCCAATCCCCATATTTTTAGAACCAAAAACATCACACCCAAAAGACATTATGCTAAATTTGTCTTGGAAACAAAAAAACTTGATTATTGAGATCTGATTGTCGGAAAATTCAAATCTCGAAGAAAAGTCGCCGGAAACAGCCTGGAAATTGCCGGAACCCTAATTCCGGTGATCGGATCTGGTCAAAAACAGTATGGGCCTGGTCGGAATGGCTGGACGACCCCAACTGTCAAAAAAAAAAATTCTCAAAAAAATGATCAGAAAAGCCCTCACGCGCCGGCGCGTGAGACAGATCTCGCCGGAAACTGCCACCTCCGATCGGCGCGTGAGAGCGCGTGGGGTGATGTTTTCCGGTGGTTTTGGCTGGGGTTTGGTCGCGGGGGCTTTCCGAGCCTCGTGGTGGTGTTGGTTTTCGCACAACACCACAGAAAGAAAAAAAGAATAACAAAATCAGATCCAACAGTCACCGGAAATTGACATAGACATACGGTGACTTGTTTGTTCTCACCAATGCTCTGATACCATGTGAGAAATATATAAGGAAAAATATTATTGAATTGTATTTCTAAATAGTTACATTGAGACCCTATTTATAGACACTACATTGGAATCCTTTTTCCAACTAGGATTCCTATTCTTATTCTTATTCCTATTCCTATTCCTATTCCTATTCATATTCCTATTCTAAGTAGGAAATACTTATTTCTATTCTAACAGACTAGTTCTAATAGGACTAGGAGCCAATTAAAAATCAATGTGCCCCTTACTCGAAGGTCCACTTAGGCTCTCAAGAAATGGTAGGCATCTTCTAATGCACTTTTTCAGCACTTTGGTACATAAGTTTAGTTCCATGTTTAAATGTGGATTATCCTCCTCCTTGGCTGTTCATTTTTCCCATCATTGAGGTATGCTGTTCTTATCCTTTTTGTACTTCATGTGTCTCTTTGTCCTTTGTTTATTTTTGTAGTTTCACATGTTGATATATTCCCCTTGAGTATTCATTTCAATTAGTAGCTTACCTCCTGTTTATTTGACATCTTATCTTATGTTAGGGAGGGAAATGTGGTATTTTTGGTGCCAATTGTGCTGAGTGGATTATCAGCATGGAGGTATTGCTCGTTTCTGTTGCTAAATTTGTGTATGTCTGGAGTGTTTCATGTTATTTGTTACGTTTTCTTTTTTGTTAATTGTCTGGTCTCCATTGAAATTCTATTAGTATGATTCTTCTTGTCACATATATTGGCACAGCACTTGAGTTGCCCGATAACATGGACATATTTACTCATAGCATGATAATGTTTGGATTGGACGTCTACTAATCAGTTGTTCTTTCTAGCTATCTTTTCAATTCTTGAAGATGCTAGGGATAAATTTTTGAAAACTGAATGTCACATCCATTTTACTTGGATAAGAACGTGGGTTTGGGACTCATTAACGGCTTCCATTTTACCTCTAAATGAGGATCCTATTGGCTTAGTTATTACATTTACTAGTTTCTAGTATCATGTAAATTGGTTGAACATTTAATTATGTGATATCAGCAAGTCCATTTCTTTGAATTGAACATAGTTTCCTCCCTTCAGATTTTTTATGAGTTGTATACCTACTTCAACTTATGGATTATTCCGTGCTTCCTTTTAGTAACACTTTTTTTATTCAATCTGATTCTGGATCCTTCAATTTGTTAAATTCTGTCACACATATCTTTTTTTCTATACCAGTCCTCTTTATTTTCATGCTTTCCCTTCATGCTCCAAAAATATCAGTATTCTGCCATAATAAGGATGGCTTTTTGTTCTATGAAACGAAGAAACAGATCTTTGGACTACATCAGTACATCTGTATTATTAAATTGCTTGAAATTTCTGCCACAATAGGGATGTCAGTTGATTTCTTTTTAAAAAGTACGATATATTTGTATAAATCCAATTCAATTTCAACTACCAGAGAAGTAAAAAAAATTCCTCTCTCACTGCTCTTATTTCCAAGTGCACTTTCAGTTTATCTGGGTTTCATATATTTGTGATCCTATCTTCGCTGCTCACTCTCTATTTGTTTCTGTTTATTATATCTATTGTTTGCTAGGATAGTTCTTATTGTCTCTGATACCAACTTTTTAATGCAGGCATGCAATGCTCATGGACTTTACTGTGTCCCTCTGTATGACACCTTGGGTACACATTTTCCTTTGTGCAAATAGTGGTTCCACGCTCTCCTTGTGATAGAATTTATTATCCTAGTGGTACTCTTAAAAATAATAGAAATGTCCTAGGCTCATTGTAATGTGATGCATGATGGTGGAGTTTGACTACCAAGAGGCTATCACATTTACCAGTCTTATCATATGCCTTTTTATTTTCAGTTTCTTTCTTAGAAGAAGGATTCACATGCCAATGTAATAACTAATATTTAATAACTATCTTTTTATGTCTTCAGGTGCTGGTGCAGTGGAATTTATCATTTCCCATGCAGAGGTTGCAATTGCTTTTGTTGAGGAGAAAAAAGTTCCCGAGGTATGCATTTTAGGAGTTAACCTTTAATAGACATATTGATTAACTTTTCAAACATCATGTCCGGGATTCTTTAAGCATGTTGATCTCCATGCTAGGTATACATGACTTTCTACTCAAGTCTCATTGATATATCAAGTGTGGAAGTGAAATTAACTCACCCATGCAGGACAAAGTATCATCTGTTTGAACTTCTATGCTGTTTTAAAAATATGTAAATGTTTCAGACTTGGACATCATATTTTTAGAACTTTTGATTAGTATAGAATTTACAAAAAATTGTTAAATTTCATGAATAACTTTCCAAGAGATTGTTCGTTAAGAAGTTTACTAGTGTTGAATTTGGAGCTATGTTCTTGAACATTCAGGGGTGTGATTTTTACTAGAATTGTTCTCTTATGCCTTTTCAGCTTTTGAAAACATTTCCAAATGCTGCGAAGTACTTGAAGAGTAAGTCAGCTGTAATTTTGTTTCTTTTTCGGAAGTATAAATACGTCATGTTAATGGCGATTGTTTCCTGTTCTTTAACAACAGCGGTTGTGAGTTTTGGGGAAGTGACTCCTCAACAAAAGGATGAGATTGAAAAGTTTGGAGTGTCTCTTTATTCCTGGGATGAGTTTCTGCAAGTAGTAAGAGTTCTCTTTTCAACTTTTATCTTTCTGTTCAGATTTCTATTATGGCTACTTAAGGGTCACCAGTAGTGTGCTGTAATCTGCATGTGACTTCTAACACGGGGCAAAAAGGGGAAATAAAGATCTTTGGATCCTGAAAAAAATGGATGCGGAAGCTAGTGCAAATAGATTTACATGTTGACTTGCGATTGATTCCAATTTACACATTTTTGTTTAATATTTCATTATTTCAGTTTTTTCTAGGTTTTCCTCGTCTCAGAATTGACCTTCAAATTCTTCTCCACATTTATTCTTGATGTTTCTATTCTTAGATGTTGGGCAACTTATGAAATTGATAATTATTTTGGGTATGTTGTTTCCAATAGTTTGGTAAAATTGTAGTAAGTTTAACACTTTTGTTGAATGACCTGCTAAGAAGAACCTATATAGACTAGCTGGCAGTAAAATTGAACTTTTCCTTCCCCTGACTTTCTTAGTAATGTTATCAGTTTTCATGCATGATAGTTTTCCTAATCTCGATCTTTCTGAATATCAACATATCAAATCCTTCTCGCTCTGTTTTGAAGATGTGCAGTTTCAGCAATCGCCTTGAGAGCAAAGTGAATTGGTTAAAAAATCATACACTAGTCTAGATTTTCTTTCGATAGGTTAGTTGATCACTTCAGGAAGGTTCTGCTTGAGATGAAGTCAAAGGATGTTTCTTGGGTTGGGAGACTCAAACCTTAATTAGGAGTTCTTATGGTTCATTCAGATTGCCTTGGTATAACACTTGCTCTGGATGATCTCTTATTCTATTTTTGATTTGTTTTTCTACGTTCCTTCCAACTGGTGAATTATGCTTCCGTTAATCGGATAAGACTAGGGACTTACGGAAAGCTAGTTAGATATCGGGTTCTAGCTTCACAATTTTCAAGTTTCTGCAGAAATTTCACCAAGCAGTTTGGGTGATTTTTGTTTGTGCATGCTTGTTAGTCATCCAGTTGACTCGTCAATTTCATTTACTATCAAAATATTCATGTTTGTCTGTGCACTGGATCATAGAAAAATATGTGAAGAAATAGTCCCCTATAAGTTGGAGGATAGGAAATTAATTACTCCTTCCGTTTCAATTTGTTTTTCTTCATTCGACTCGGTACAGAGTCTATGAAAATAAAGAAGACTTTTGAATCTTGTGGTCTTAAACTAAAGATGTGTGCAATGTACCAAAATGTTATTTGAATCTTGTGGTCTTAAATATGTCGAGTAAGATATTGGGGGTAAAAAGTTATTAAATATAGAGAGTGACATTCTTTTTGAAACAGACTAAAAAGGAAAGTAAGACAAACAAACTGAAATAGAGAGAGTATATAAAATTACAAAGGCACAGGTTCTGGGTTGAAGTCTAGTTCCACACTTCCTAGTACTACCATATGCTTGGCCTATAGAGAGAATTTGTTCAATAAATGTGTGGGGGGGCTTAGACACAAACTATGGACAAAGAAATGATTGTTTTTATTAAAACTTTTTAGGCAGCAAGAAGTTCATTCACTGGGAATATAATGATTGATGCACCACTCCCCTACATTTTTTTGAACATCACATACTTATATAACCTTGATTATTCTTTAAGCTAAACATCACACTTCTCAATATGTGCAGGGAAGCAAAAATCAGTATGATCTTCCACTGAAAGAGAAGAATGATATCTGTACAATAATGTATACCAGTGGAACAACCGGAGAACCCAAGGGTGTGATGATCTCAAATAATAGCATTGTTACTCTTATAGCTGGAGTGAAGCGGTTTCTTGAGAGTGTAAATGAGGCGGTGAGATATATCTTCTGTTTATTTGCATGTGTTTTGGTAAAGCATTCTGAGAGTTTTACTTTTGCTTGAAAATATGTCTTAAGTTTTATCGAACCTTTTTGTATTGCAGCTGACAGTGAATGATGTATATCTCTCATATCTTCCCTTGGCGCATATCTTTGATCGGGCGATTGAAGAATGTTTCATTAGGCATGGCGCCTCAATAGGATTTTGGCGAGGGGTAAGATGTCCATCTCTTTCATGAAATGTTGTAAGAGATTATCTTATGCATTTCTTATCATGTTTGCAGGATGTCAAATTACTAACTGAAGACCTTGGAGAGCTGAGACCAACCGTCTTCTGTGCGGTACCTCGGGTATTAGACAGAATATATTCAGGTAATATCTTACCCTCCCTTATAATTGATTCATATAAAGTTTCAAACCTTTCCACCCAATTACTAATGTTGACCTCCTTTTCTTATGAAAATCTATTTGTTTTACTGGAATACCAATGTACTTTAGATGTGACTTACACAGAAAGTGTGTAGACATAAAATTAATAATAGAAGCATTATTTTTTCTATATAACAATGATGTCTGAGCCAAATTTTGCACACCTCGACTATTTCAGTGGACACCTGCAACCTCCGTCAACACAAGTATTGAGTAACTCCACCCGCCAATGCTTAGACAGATGAGAAAAGATCACCTATTAGCCTTTCTCCTCTACTAGAATTTGATTTATTGACCAATTTGATGCTACTACAAGTGTTCTTTCTATAACTTTACAGATCTCCACACATTAGCGCAAGACATAAACTTTAGCTATGTTGTAGATTATGCTTATGGAAATGAAGGATGCCATGAAAAATATGAGGGTTAGAAACACTTATACTCCAGATAGTAACTCTTTTAGAGGTTTGGAATTATCTTGCAGAAGTTGGTGTGTTATGGCTTACAAAGTAATACAAACTATTCACCGTCATATTAAGGAGCAGAAAGATGCCATGAGTGGAGAAATAGTACCTAGATTCCGACGGATAATCAGGAACCATCACAAGTGTGAAAGCAGATACTAAGGAGGTATCCATGGGGGTGGTTTATTAGATATTTACTTTAAGCTGGTACTTGTTTTACCCCAATTATGGATGAGCTAACCCACATTATAAATGCTTAAGGCTCATGTTGTGTGCTATTTACTGACAATATCGGTTAATTGATGAAACTGTGTCTACCAGAAGCTTGAATTATTGAGACACTATTAAAGAGTTTTAGTACAAGTAGAAGTAACACTATAACACATAACATATGAAGTGCATTTTTCTTTAATAGTTTTACGCCTATGGAAACATGTACTTTCTATAAATTATTTTACTAGGAACAAGTCAGTTCACTCCATTCTTCTTCCCTCAGATCTGAATATAAATCAGAACAAACCAATGTCCTAAGCCTGAGTCACTGCCACACATCAACAAAATTTCAATGTGCTCGACTTAAGAAAAAGAATTAGATCCCCACACAATGAAGTGTATTGCAGCTATATAATAAGCACATAACAATCTTATCTTATCTAATAGTTTAAGCTTTTAGATAAGGTTATTCACGCAATAATAAGGATACAATCATCTTCTGTTATTAGAGACAATAAGATGTGGGATTTACTGTTGTTCTCTGTGGAATTTGCTTCTTTCTCTCAAGTATGCTTTTGACTTTGTGCACTTTGAGTCTTAAGATTCTGGGTCATTTGACTAATTGCAACGAGCATTCTCAGGTTTGCAACAGAAAATTTCTTCAGGGGGTCGGCTAAGAAGCACCCTGTTCAATATTGCATATGCTCGGTAAGTTCTGTTCCATATTTCTCAAAGAGATGGCAACTTTTTTTGTTGATGCAAACATCAGTATTTTAAACTCGATGTTTGAGCTTTGAAGTGCTTCAATTGTCTTAATGTGTATCTGTTGCCAGGGAAGGCACTGTATCTATGGTTGGAAAAAGATGCATCTGATGATGGTCCCTTTTGATTTTTGGAAATACCATTTTACTTGTCTGGCATAATATAGGTGTTTCACATTGTTGGATTTATACCTGTACTCTTATACAATTCTAGCACTTTCTATGCTACTTCCAAATGTAGAGATTAGTTCTGTGAGTCACTACAAGCTTTTTCATTTTTGAATTGATTTTCCATAGAAGTGCAATTGGTTGCATTCTGTATATTTGAGAAGAAATTCGTTCCCATTTTTTGGTTTAATATGAATATTGGAACTCATTTGAGGCATTTTCTTTTGGAGCCTTTACCTTACCTACATTTTTTAATTCTGCAGAAAACTTCAATATTTGAAGGATGGGTGTAAGTATCACGAAGCATCTCCAATATCTGACAAAGTTGTTTTCAGTAAGGTGGTGTAGATACTCTTGCAGCAGCTAATACATCTTCTAAATTTGCTTCCTGTTGTACCACTAGATATGAAAATTTGGTTGCTTTTGCTGATTTCTTAGGTAAGAGATGGGCTAGGAGGCAAAGTACGCCTTATATTATCTGGAGCAGCACCCCTCTCTTCTCATGTAGAAGCTTTTCTGCGAGTTGTAGCATGTGCTCATGTTCTTCAAGGATATGGTATTTTATTCTAATCCTCACATCAATTCCATCTATGGTGTTAAACTTATTGTCTTACTCCATCCCGAAAAAAATCAACAGGCTTAATTTGCTTAGTTATTTTACCTTCTTTTTTTTGTAAAAAGATGTGATATATCTCATGGTTTATAATCTAGTCATAAGTGACATCAGTAGTTGTCCTGCCTGAGAGTTGACTATAGCTGAAGTAAGTAACCTTTTAAACTATTCGGCAGAAAAGCTTCTATTATAGTTTTACAGAAAGAAATCTAGCATGGTAATTTAGGTTTCTGCTTGAATTGTTCTGAAATTTGGCATTTCTGTAGCTTGTATTCTATGGGGAGTAATTTATTGACATTTGGCAAGAACTGGGACTTGGCAAAAGTTATGAGCTCATTCTCAGTTTTGACCATGTTGCGCTGATTCTTCACTTTCAATGCCGCATCCGTGTTGGATTCTCCAAAAAAAACACTACTTTTGGAGAATCCAATATGCACCCGTTGACAATTTTGAAAAGTCCAAGCAACATAACTGACCAGAGACTTCTCTAAGCCTACATCTATTACCATAATGGTATTACTAAAAAGACTTTGACATCATCTCTCCGTAGACCCAACATGTTATATTCAATTGAAAACTAAAATAAGTGATATTTGTTTCCCTATGATTTAAAACTTAAACCTTCCTCTCAAATTTCCTCTGCACTCATCTGTCATCATAATGTTAACTTAGCTGAAATTTGATGCATACTTTTGTCAGTATTGAGAGATTGTTGGCTTTTATTGTTCTGCACGAATAAACGTGTGTTGGACATTGGGTGGTCTTGGGTTCGTTCCACGTGGGCTGACTAGAGCCGGTTTTGAAAGATATAAGATAAAAAATAACTCTCTCGGTAAAGTCGAGGAAATAATTAAAATGGTGTTTATAACTATTCGATGTAACAAACAATTTTAAGTAAATTACTTACGGTATTTGGTTGTATAGACTTATTGAAAAGCTCGAAGTCAATATTTGGCAGTTTTCTTTGTAGTATGTGCAGTTTGAATCTCGAAACTTTGTGAAGCAATATAAGTGTTAGTGGTATGCCAAGTAGATTTATGGTCCTGGTTAGAGAAGTCATTTGTTGTTAAGATTTGGACATAAGAACATAACTCATCTTGCAAACCGTTTTTGAACATAACGAAGCAACTTCTGAAAAATTATAGTGATACGTATACATTTAGCTGTCATTTATGTCTATACTGTAATCTTATTTTAGATTTTTAAAATATGGATGAGAAATTCTTTGGTTTCTTTATATTGCCTGAGTAATTGGATTGTTGTTCCTGATGATTTGCTAGTGCGTGTTCTTGCCAAAGCTGATGATTCAGTCTTTTACTTTTAGGTCTTACTGAAACATGTGCTGGTACATTTGTATCACTACCCAACCAGTTTGATATGCTTGGTACGGTTGGTCCTCCGGTGCCCAATGTGGATGTATGCTTGGTGTCCGTTCCTGAAATGGAATATGATGCTCTTTCAAGCACACCACGTGGAGAAATATGTGTGAGGGGAGACACTGTGTTTTCTGGTTACTACAAGAGTGAGGATCTGACAAAAGAAGTCTTGATTGATGGATGGTTCCATACAGGTTTTTCTGGAAAAAGAATTTGGTTGAACTGATAACTGTCCCACTTGTTAAAATTTTTTAATTGAAGTTGCTCCAAAAAATCTTGTCAGGGGATATTGGTGAGTGGCAACCAAATGGTAGCTTGAAGATAATTGATCGCATGAAGAATATTTTCAAGCTATCACAAGGAGAATATGTTGCAGTCGAAAATTTGGAGAATGTATTTGGCAATAATCCTGTTATTGAATCGGTAAGTTATCCCAATTAGGTGCATTGGCCTCTTGACTATAGCAATTTGGTGACTTCATGAGTGCAATTTATTTTCTGAACAAATAAGGTAGGAATTTTCCATCTGCTGTGTTCACTGCCTGTGATCTATCTGTTTGAACACTATGCTGTTAAAAGAAAGAAGCATTATTCATTCTAAAATCTCATTCTTTATGCAAATATATTTCATTGTCAATTGACAAATGTTTAATTAATTCTGTAATGATGAGATGGGATGCATATATAATTTTGGGCCACCCTTCACTCTGTTCATGGTTAGCCATGCTCACTATTAATGTTTGATAGAAAGTTTTTGGGCATAATACAACGAATATTCATAAAGAATAGAGCATATCCGTAAACCTGTTCATTATTTTAATGTTCTATAGAGATAGAAGCCTTCATCATCTCTAGTTAGTCGAGCTCGAGCCTCTTCAGTTCATGCTGCATCTCATCTTGATTGATAAAGCTTTGAAGGGTCGATTGGCTCTGAATAGCGCTAGCTGCATTATTGGTTCTCTAGGATTAGATAATATGGTCTAGTAGTAACACAGTTATATCCACTTTAGACTCTAGATTCTCAGTTTTTTTTCTTCTTGATTGGCTTCAGGTATGGGTATATGGGAGCAGCTTTGAGTCTTTCCTTGTTGCTGTTGTTAATCCAAGTAAACAACAGGTTGAAAAATGGGCCAAACAGAATGGCCTCTCAGGGGATTTTAATTCCCTATGTGAAAATTCAAAGGTGAAAGAGCACATACTAGGGGAGCTCACAAAAGCTGGAAAAGAAAAGAAGGTTAGTTTCTCTTCGGCCTCCGTGGCTGTTTTTCATAGTTTGATGTTTTGCAGAAACAGGCAAGCCTAGGTAAACATGACTTATTTTCTTTGCAGCTGAAGGGATTTGAGTTCATAAAAGCTCTACACCTTGATCCAGTTCCATTTGACATGGAACGTGACCTCCTGACTCCAACATTTAAGAAGAAAAGACCACAATTGCTTAAATACTACAAGGTAAATTCTCTTTGATGAAGATTGGTCCTTTCCAACTTGTTGGGGATTAAAGCTTAGTTTTTGTTGTTCTTGGTCCACATCCAAGAATTTCCGTTTTCTCTTTTGTCTTACTGTTACTTCACTGCTATTATATTCGTCTGTTGCGGGAAAAACAGTATGTTGCATCATGCATGCTCCTTCGCCTAGCTAACAATATTATTTTAATGGATATAAGAGGAGTAGACATATGACCAATGATCTTGTGTTCTTTTACCCGTTGTTGACATTTACTGTTAAAATGTACCTCATTGGTTGAGAGAAAGGGTTATTGTCTCGGTCTTGGGCATTTCTCACCATGTGAGCTAACTTTTGAAGTTGAGTTAGACCCTAGTTCCTTTTCTTCTCGTGGACTACCCAAAGACTAGTTCATGTTTATGAGCAGAAATATTGGTTATTTTGTTCATAGCATGATCAACAATCCTCAATGCCCAAGATTGTTCTTAACATTTTTTTCTTGGCTATATCTAGAAGCAATTTGTCTGGAAAGACGTATAATTTCTTGGACCTAGTGAGGATCCAGACGATCCTAATATGTTTAGACCTGAGGCATACTTGTTATTACGTTATTGTTATATATCGTTCTATGTGCAATCAGTTTATGAAATTCACGTTACGGAAATATATTTCATAAGCTGTTCTTTTCTGATTTGATTTAACTTTGTGCAGGATGTGATTGACACCATGTACAAGGATGCTAAATGAACTTGCAATGCTTGAAATTAGCACATTTTATTTTTAACTAAACCTACCTCTTTTTATGTTTTTTGTTTTAGTACTGCATGTATATATCACTCAGAATATGAGATTTGTTTTATCCAAAACTGGATCAGGCCCTGTAATACATGGGAATCTTGTTTCTTATTAATTTGCTTTAGTTTATACCTATCAAGGAACACGTTGAATTATGTCATTAGATTATGTTATTGCACAAACCAATAGTGGGTGTTTGGACGGAGAAATTGTGAATTTTTTTTTATAAAAAAAGCCATATTTGTTTTCAAAGTTGAAAATGGTATATGGAAGACGGAGTTGTATTTGAACATTAATACAAATTGGAATTGTTTTTGAATACTTGTGAGTGATCTGGGGTGAAAATTGGAAAAACAGGTTTTTGGAGTTCTTTGAATTTCAAAATTTTCAAGTTAAATTCTAGAAAATTGTAAGAATTCTAGCTAAAAATATGGGTAATTAAGTTTGCTCATTAAACTATAAACAAAAATAGTGACAAAATCAAGTTACAATACCACTTGAATAGGCAGAATTCCAAGAAATCCTATTTACACGAGTAATCACATTTCTACTCAATAATTAAAAGCTAGCTCAAAGCTTCAATTACTAAAAGAAAAACTCCAAAATATCATTGATACTTCTTTCACTTGTGTGTAAGTAGAAATTTCATTATTGTAACTATTTCTTGAAGACAAGGCCGAGAATTGACTATGCGAAGAGTTCTTGGATTGTGTCGAGGGTTTTCATTGAATAAAATAATGCATATACATAGTAATCTTTCGGCTTAAGAAGTTCAAATGAACTCTATTGCTCCCCTTTAGCTCTGCCCTTCACGGCAAATATCCCAAATTAACGAAAAATTACATAAATACACAACTTAAGATATTATAATCTCTAAAATTATTCACCATTTAAAAAAATTACAACAATCCCCTTTTAGACATCCTATCCCCTCTCTGATATATCTCTATCCTTTCGAATACATCTCTATCGAGAGATGCATTCCTCCCATTAAATAATGTATCGGACATCTAAGGAATATATCCGAGAGCAATAAAAAATTCAAGATTTTTTTAATCGAAAAAACTTTCAGAATAGAATATAATTAGCACCAAGTTATACTTCAATTTATCTAATCACTTAATACATTAATTAGAATTGAATAGCCACTAAGAATACATTTAGTAATAACAAGAATTTGAAGTGGCAAAAATGTCTGCAAATAATAAGAAAACAAACAAAGGTCGGTTTCAATGCATAGAAAATGATAAAACTTGTCAAACCGACCTGTATTTTATTTTTCTTTAGGTCCAAAATATACCTTTTTCCAAAACTATTCTATAAAGAATTGACAACTCATTTACATGAAAATAAATAGTGACCCCTTGAGTCCTTGACTAGACAATTTAGTCATCCCTTCTTCTATTCATAGTTATCCCTTCTCTATTTTAGTCCAATAGGAATATAAAACACAATTCAAAATTCGATAAATAATATTCTTGGCATTTTAATCTATATATTTGAATTTGACTAGACATAAATTCTAAGAAACTAAGAAATTATTGAGCCTTGTAGTCTTTTACGAGCTTATCGAAGATATAATTAAATAAATAAAATATACTTTATATAATAGCTTAAGTTTTTTTTAAATAAATATTATCAAAAAATGTATTTTTATTTTTCACTCCTTTGATGATATAAGATAACACAACTACAAACACCACAAGTAATGGGGTTTTTCGTAGCGACTCTATCGAGTTATTATGAGTAATCTTTAGTCACTAAAAATTTATTTTAAGAATCATTTAATCATCACTAAAGAAAACATCCATTTTTTAATAGATTGCACCATACAAATTCAAATTAATCAGGACTTTAAAATGAATACAAAATATAAAATAGAACGTTGAAGAAACAATCGGAACAAAAGAAAAGACGAGTGATTTTATTAGATTTTGATGTCTAAGGTGTTTCTTGTTCTTTCTATTTCTTGATGAATCATGATGTCAATTTCAATCAAAAAAATAAATAAATACAGCTATGAATTTCAATTTCCAAGAAAACGAACATGGGGATTTATATTACGATAAGAGGGGACCAAATCTTGATAAATGAAGAATTTTATCCACTACATATTGCATGTGTAATTTAATTCTTTGGCAAACGTTTGCTAGATATAACAAGTGAATCACAATATTATATTATTATTGAATAAAATGGTCCTTTCCAATATGAAGAGTACCCATTTTTTGAACATTAAAATTTAGTAAAATTTAAAGGACTACAAAATTTGTTATGTGCTCATCAGAAAGCAATAGTCATGAGTCATTTGACTCATTTTTATAACGACGTTGGTTGTTCTGATATTCTCTTCCCTATAATATGTTATAGATGACTTACATTATAACATAATAAAAATATTAAGAAAAGCTCATGAGTATTATACCCCAAGTTATAAAAAATATTATGATGTGATGGAATAGTTAGAATCTTTTCATATTAATGGAAGGTAATTTCTAGTTCAAGTCCTAACTAGTTAAGTATAAGAGAACCATTGGTTTGATATTGAAATTCATAGTTGCACTCATTAATCTCATTTCGGAATATATATATATATATAGAAATTAAGAGGTATTTTGTATAAAATTAATATAGAGCACCCAATGAATAAATGATTTGATTGGCCCATTGACTATTGAGTTGGTGTTTAAGATTCTTTTAATATTGTTGAACTTGAGTTTGAATCTCATTTTAAGTTTTTTTTTTTTCTGACATTTCCTTTACCCTCTTAGTTGGTATAACTGGCGGAAATTCTTATTATCTGGTCATAACATTTGGATATTGGATATCGATTATTAATAAACAGAAGAAATAAAAAGATTGCAAATTCTCAAAGTATTTATTTTCCTTTTTGAGTTTTATTCTTTGAATACTGTTACCTTAATAACAGTTACTACCAATAACACTTTCACTACTATATATATCATCATATGTCAGTTAATATCTTAAAAGGTCACTGAACTATGAAAAATTATCTAATAAAATCATTAAACTTTGTTTTGTATCAATTAAATCAAATATAAGGAATGACCAAGATCCAGGATTCTTTGCTAACATAATTACTACTTCACTTCTCTTTGCCTTAGCACAAGCTGACTTGTTATCTTCTATACTATTTATTAATTTTATGTTCTAAAATTTGTTTATGTGACAATGTCTTTACTCCCAAATCCTAATCAAACATGAAAAATGCAACTATTATCAGAATATAAGAAAATAGATTTTATAGTTTATTAATTTGTGGAGTCCATGATTATATGACATTAAAAAAATAACTTATTTTGTCATGTCAAATATATTTTAAAGATAAATGTAGTTGAATGATTTTTGAAGATAAAAACCTTAAGTTGAGTGATTTTATTAAAACAAAATAAAGTTCAATGACTTTATTAGATAATTTCTCATAGTTAAGTGACCTTTTAAGATATTAACTCCATCGTTTGAAGTAGATTCTTCTTTTGATCAATTCCCAAACAGTTTTTCGAGCTTCTTCCAAAGCATAGGACTTTTTGGATGTAGATGATGGATATCTATAGAAATGGATCTTCTATATATCGCAGAATGAAGTAGCACATGGGTGGATATATATATATAATGCATTAGGTAATCTATAAACTTCAAAACACATACTAAAAAGGATATCCTATTCACATTTTTGACTAATTTATATATATATATATAGATAGATAAGTTTCAATAATATAATTGTGTTTCCGTTTGATCCGATATGAAATGATCTTTAAAATTAGAGCTGTCAATATTGACTGGTCCAACCCATTCGGGTTAACCCATACATGCTTTGAAATTTGAGGGGTCAAGCCGGGCTAGCCTATTTTTGATGTGGGCCAAAAAATGGCCGGCCCAGCCCACAAGTACGTGGCTACGGGATTTGTCGGGCCAACCCTTTTTTTTTTTCTTAAAAGTATTTTTTATAATTTTTTAAATTAAATTATAATTTAAAAATATTATCATAAATATCAACAAGACAATATTACATGGTGTTAGTGTTACTATTTGTTAATCAAATTCACAAATAAAATTATCTTTATAATATTTATTAAGTTTGATTTCAAGTAAAAGCATAAATAACTAAATAGAAATATTAACCTAATTGTTTTCCAATGATCATAATAAAACACAAAAACTATGACAATATTCCATAGGCTATGGCCTATGTAGTGATTTCCTAGAAATTTTAGCGAATTTTTATTTATGAAGTACATATTTTATAAATATAATTTGTATTTAAATTGTAATATTTAAAACTTTAAACAGATTTTGAGTTTAAACTCTTGTTATTTTTAATAATCTATTTTATTTTTATTTGGCCCACGGACCGGTCCTATCCATATTTCTCAAGTCCCACAAATCGGCAGACTTATTCAAGTCGGGCTAAAAAATTCTTTTCTTAAATGGGCTCCAAAAATTGTAGCTCAACCCTATCAAATCACGGGTTAGGCCAGGCTGGCCCAACGAGCTTAGCCCATATTGACGATTCTATTTAAAATCATAGAATTACATAAACCTAATTCATTCTCATTTTGTGTAGTTAAAATTAGAAAAAAAAAAATATAAACACATAGTAACCAAATTTTATATGTGCTAAGCATGATATCATAATTACATCATCATTTTGAGATAATTATATTTATTTATTTTGGTCAGATAAAGGATGAAGTAGAGACGTGTTCTTTTTGGGATTAGACCATTTTGGGGGGACCAAGGGAGCTGTCGTTTTAGCTGCTGTGCACCCATATGGAATCAGTCCCCCTAATACTTCCAAGACTCAACTTTTTGCATTAGTGGCCCCTCTTTAATTAATAACCCACTTTTTTAAACAACCACCTCTTACCCCCCAACCCAACCCACACACCTTAAACATTTCCTTTGTCATGTCAAAAAAAAAAAATCTTTTTTTTTCTTGGCTACAATAGAAAATAATATATTCAGTATATTACTTCTCATATATAGAAAGAATGAGATTTGAGAAGTTTTTTTCGATAAATCATTTGTTTAAGAAAAGATGTTTTTAAATAAAATGATTTAAAAGAAGGGAAAGTATTCGACCAAATCCATTGACTTACCATAAGTATGTATTCCCTCTATTTCAAAATAAGTGAATTATTGAGATATTGTACACCCTTTAAGAAAAAAATATCAAGCGTTACTTTTTATTTTTATCCTTTTTAATTATTGTCAAATTACTCTATAGAATGACTAAAGAATGATCAGCATAACTACTCTCAATACTAACTAAAAATTAAAGTTTCTTGAACTCATCGTACCAAAAATACAAATGAAAGGTAAATATGAAAGAAAATTCTAAAATTATTCTTAAAAATTGAACAATTTAAATTAATTTGAACTATAAAAAACATCGTAACATTAACTTATTCTTTCAATAACTTTTCATAGTAACTCTCAACAAATTGATCGATATTGCTTACATAAAATTTGGTGGATAGCAAAAAAACAACAAAAGCAAAAGGTTTGAACATGAGGTAGGATTTGTGAAGATAATCAAAAGATATAAAAAAGACAAATAAAATCAAAAAGTTTGTGAAAAAACAAAAGATAAAGATAAAAATAAAAATTGTACGGTTTTAGATTTGACATTTGAGGGAGGAGTTAGGTTTGTATCACATTCAAATACAGAGAAAAACTTTTTGGGCTATAAATGAAAAGATATGTGGGCCCATATCTACATGAGCCCTGTCTACAAAAGGCCATTCAATGAAAGATATGTGGGCCCATTTAACTTTACGTTTTTAATGAAATGAAAGTTTTGGGCCCATTTTGGTAGCACCTTTTTTTTGCATGTTTTTAACACCACTCATGTCATTTTTGGTCAATCATCCATACTAGAAGAATTGGTCTTCAAAAGCATAATTATTTTAATTTTTATTATTTGTTTTATAATTATTTTAACCACACAAAATGGAAGTTACATCATAAGCAATCTATACCATAATATATGAGTTCAAGTAAGTTCATTAGGTTTTTACATATACTTTATATACGTATTAAGAGACACTAAGCAATTATGAAGATTGATTCTAAACCTAATCATTCATGTTATTTGAGTCGAGGATCTTTTAGAACAATCTCTCTAAATTTCCGAGGTAAGATTAAGATTGTGTACACACCAACCTTGACCGTCCTCAAAATTCACTTGTAAGATTACTCACTATGTATATGGTTATTGTTGTTTTACTCAATCATTATTGTATATTGTAACGAATCTTTAAACTTCAAATCATCCACCTCAAATTACATACTAACATTATTCCAGTCTCATCTCATCTAAATTATAAATTCACCTCAATTGGTTTACATATTTCTAATTTCTTATTTATATGTAGAGTAAAATCAACAATGGCTCGAGAACCTTTCATGAAAATGGGTGTTAACTATTATTGACTTTTTTTTCTTTATAATAAAGTATAATATGCATTTTTACTTGTTGGATACGTGCAAAATGAGACAATATCCAAATTTGGTGGAATTTTGAAATATTAGGTACTTATTTGCGCTATTTAGCTTCATTATTACATTAGTGTTGCTCGTTTTCCACATTCCTACACAAGTCTCATCTCACACATACACATTAGAGTAGTGTGATGAATGTGATCTTTCTATCTTGCTAACTAAGATTGACAACTAAATTCAATCTTTGAAACTTAGTAAACTGCTAAATAAGTTTACGCCACGTCAACATTTTTAAATTCACTTAATCAAGTAGAGGGGTGTTTTTAAGGTTGTCAATAGTTGGAGGACTAAAGTAATAAAGTAATAATAAAGTTGGTACTTCTTGAACCATTTTCACCTTGAATTAATCAACATATCCATAATATCTAACTTTTTGTCTCAAATTCGAGACCTTCAAATGAAAACCCACTAATAAAAACTCGTCTTATCCTTTAATGAGATACATCTAAATTAATCGGATCAGTAAATTTCAGAAACCAAAACTATTAAATATATAGATAAAACAAATTTCCCCTGCCAGGAAATAGGAGATATAAGAAAGAAGCTCAACTGTTCAAAAGTCCTATGAGGACTGCTGCCTATTCTGCCACAGTAAATTAAATACTACATAAAGTAGCTTTTTGTATCTCATCAATAAATAGGGGATTTAAAACCAAAATAAATACACATAGGACCACTCTTTCTGAGGTTGGCATGGATACATCGAAGGTAAAATCTGCTTATATTTTTCTTTTTCAAATTTCACTTGCGAAATTAGTCCTTTGGGGTCCATACCAGTTGTTAGTTGTGAATGTGAGTTCTTCCAAAGCTTATTTTTCAAACTCTGCACTCGATATACAGCCTGTTTATGGGGTACACATTTTTCTCCTTAAGATATTTTTTTTCTTTCTTGTACAACATTGTCTTCAATGCAAAACACATTTTTGTATTTGAACTTAATATTTGTTAAAGCTATAATTAAAAAAATATAAATTTTTACTTAAATATGTAACTCGTAAAATTGAATTATTTGATTTAGTATCAACAACATATTCAATGCAGTTTCACGGGAAATTTGGAAAGGTTAGAATTTACGCATATCTTAATCTTAACTTTGTGAGGTAGAGATATTATTTTTAATAAACCCTCAACATTCAATGTTAGTGTTGTGCTAGATAGATCATTACGGGGACACTTGAGTCAGCCACCAACATGCAGGGGCAGGTAGAATTAAGGGTTTCAACTAAATTCTCTAGTTGATAACTTAAATTGTGTAACTAGAGATTTTTTTAATATAAAAACGGTTAAATCTCCTTTTATGAAGTTCAAATCCTAGGTGTAACACTGTAGTATCTATTAATTCCCTCTCATATAAATTTCTAACCTTGTCACTGATTGTCGATACCTATCAACCTCTTGGTCCCGTCCATTTTTGGGTTACTTTTCCTTTCTTACTACAAAAATGAACTTTATACACCTCCAATGTTATTTAATCCTCTATAACAATGATCTTAAATATGATTACTTGCAATTATGTCCATATATTGTACGTCAACAATACATATAACTTATACTCTTTGGGGTCGTTTGATTGGAAACAAGTTATTTCACCATATATATAGGATAACTTATCTCATCACTAAAGTATAAAAGATGAGAAATAATCTTAGGACTGCCTAATACCTCCAAACAAACGCAAACAAACGCAGGGTAAAATTATTCCCTGAAAGTATTACTTAGACCTCACAATAAACAACTCCATTAGTTATTGAATGTGTAGTAGTTCAGAGATTGTCAAAAGAGCTAAAAAGTGAAAAGGTGAATCATAAATGTTGAACTTTTGAAAACAAAAAGTTAAGGACCTTTAGAAGAAAGAGAAAAAAAGATCCTTTCTGTAGCTATAAATACAGCAAAGAGGAAACCAAACTTTCACACACACCATAGATATCAAACACAAAAAATCTTTTTTATCCAAATCCCAACTTCCCCTGAATTTCCAATTTTTCTTCCTCATATAAGCCAATCATCAAGAACAAATTCTTCAACTTTTAACACACCCTCAAATTTTCTTGGATCAGTGTATTATAAATCTCAACAAAAGGGACAATTTTTTTTAGTATCCTTTTTTCCTTTCTGTGTTGTCTCTTTTTTCCTACATCACTCGTCTCTCTTGAGGAAATCAAGAAACTATGAGCAGAATTCAAGAAAACATGTCTTACACATATGATGAGGCTGCTCAAATTAGATCTTCTTTATCTCAAATCCTATTAACAAGTAGTACCAACACTTTAGACTCAATATTTTTTCATTGCCAAGAACCAAAAAATCAAATGACTACTACTAGTCCTGTTCTTGAACCACTATGTTCTTCAGTCTATCTCAGACAAAAAGATTTGCTCCAAAATTTTTGGGAACAAAACAGAACAAATATCACAATTCCAACAACTTCCACACAAACCCCACTTCAAGAATCATTATACTCACAAAGATATGTTAGTCCAAACAAGAAAAAGTTATATAGAGGAGTGAGACAAAGGCATTGGGGAAAATGGGTGGCTGAAATAAGACTTCCTCAGAAGAGAATGAGAGTTTGGCTTGGAACTTATGACAATGCTGAGGCTGCAGCTTATGCTTATGACAGAGCAGCCTATAAACTTCGCGGGGAATATGCACGATTGAACTTTCCAAATCTACGCGATCCAAGTGAGTTGGGATTTGGAGATAGTGCAAAGATGAATGCTTTGAAGAATTCTGTGGATGCTAAGATTCAAGCTATTTGCCAGAAGGTTAAAAGGGAGAGAGCTAAAAAGGGTGGAAAGAAAATTGTTGAAAGTGAGAAAAAAGTTGCAAAAAATGTGGATTTGGATTCATCATCTTGTTCTTCTTCTTCATTGGTTGATAGTGAAAGTTGGAGTCATAGTGATGTGATTTCACAGAGTAGTTCTGATGATGGATTCTTGAATAGTGAGAAATCACCTTGCTCTGTTCTTGGTGACTGCCCCATGGGGCCCGAGAACGATAATTGCCATGTCACTAGCATCACACATCATTTCGAAAGGTCTGTGCTGGAATCAGAGTTCGAAGATTATTCCTTAGCAGCAATGCCTTCTTTTGATCCTGAGTTGATATGGGCAGTTCTGGCTAGCTAGAAGTCATTCCGACTTTGTACGTAGGATTCAAAATTTTAAGTTTATGAATTCCGATTACAATCCTTTTTTGTTGAGCAAAACACTATTGGATCTTACCAACCCCATAACTTCAGCTGTAGATACACCCCTTCTTACCCTCCACATGACTTGAATTTTTTACTTTTAGGTTAAAAGTGCTTTGGATATTTGTAGAATCTCTTCTTGAGATGCGGTAGAGACCATTTTTATATTGTGGGCAGTGTAAATGGTTAATTTTGAAGATGTGTAGCTATTTAGTTATATGAATTCTTTTGTTAAATTAATCAAGAACCAGTCTCCTGTTTTTTAACTTTTCTCTATGGGATGAACAGAGATATTATAACCTGTTCATTCCCAGTTTTCTGTATCAAATTATGAAGGATTTTATCTAATTCCAGTACTCATAAAGTTTAGTATCTTTTGAACCATATTGTAGAATGATCTTTCATAAAGAGAAAGTTCATATCCCTTTTCATCATCATCAATCAATCAATGATATTTTCCATCTCAAATTTGCTGAGGTAAGTTAAACACATCATTTGTATATATGTTATTCTATTTGGTAAAAATGTACTCACATGAGGATATTTACTCCAAATTAATAGATACATGACATATGTTCGAATATACTACTATCACTTAACCATCAACATAACATGGGGTGTGAATATAGGTGTGAGAACTACGCCGAATTTAGCCAAATTATTGGATACCTCTATTACATCTACGATCGATAAGTATAGATTAATTGGGTATTTGGTTTGATTTCTGGATTTGTGTGTGTATTATACATAAAAGTATAAGAATGTGTTGCTATAACACCTTATTAGTAAAATATTAAGCGTTAACAAATGATTAAGTTTTATTAGTTTTAGTTCAATGACTCTAATTAATCAAAATATTTATTTAGAAAAATTGTATAAAATAGCAAACTATTAATTCAAATTAAATGCTATAACCATAGTTTCATTAAATTCTAATCCGTAGCAAACACTTGCCATTCGGCTCTCTCCCTAGAATTCTCATTCGCCACTCTCCTTCGCCTCTCTCACTTTATACAAACACAAATGTATAAAATATGTTTGTATAAAGCAAGAGAAAATTGTATATACAAATACATATATTTTCGTCTTATACACTTATAATTATACAAATATAAATCTTTCCCTATCAGTTCTCTTTTGTCTTTCTCTCTTTTTCGCTTTATACAACCACAAATTATACAAATTACTATGTATTGTGTTGTATAAAGCGTGAGAGATATTTGACATTCAAATATTTTATTTCGATTCAATCGTATACAAATTCAAATTTTATGCAGATATACAAACATAAAGAACATATACATGTACAAACACAATTTTCATAGACACACGCCCGATTTATACAAATCGTTGCGTTTTATACAAATCAAATGTCGCGATTTTTATACAGATCTAATGTTCCATAGCAAACATAAAATTTGTTATGCAAACTATAGCTATAACATACAAATATTATTTTTATGTTTGCTAAACCTAAAATTTACACTATTTATTTTACATAGCCCTATTTGTATTTCTCTACCAATAGTCAAGAAATCCAAATAAAGAAAGAAATGGTCCCAATTTCTGTGGTGGAACAATGTGACCCACTAAGTGCAGAGTAGATGATGGGAATGCCTCAGTATCGCTTGTCTGATATATAATATAACAGCAACATAAAGACCTTTTTGGGTTATCCTTATTTCTAAGACTAGTCATTGTTTGATAATGTTACTCTGAATATGCCAATTATATGTCAAGCTTCATCTACACTACATGCACAAACGTAATCAACTCAACTAGCTCTTTGTGGTAGAAGAGCATACATAATATATTCGAAAAGGAACTGACGGACTTCTAAGCAGACGAACTTTTGAAATAGGAGTACATGTTAAACGTTATCAAATATCACATCAGAGAATGAGAGAAGCAACATGTTATACTATAAGACAACACACAAGTTAACATGACAGACATGCTTCTGGGACAATGTGTCATAGCCCAAAGACAAATCCTAGAGCCCATTGGATCAACTGGGACAATACATATCATAGGCTTGGTTTGCAACAAATAATATGTGTGTTGTGAAGAAATAGATAAATAGAGAATTGAGGTAGAATAACAGTGAGTGTGGTCCAAGTACTTCAATTGTCCTTACCTTCTTGGCAATTCTAGTTTCATGGCAGAATAAGGAGATTTAGTTTTTATTTTATTTTTCTTCTCACCAATTTTTACTTAGAAAACTGAATGCCCGGTTCAAGTACAAGATCAGGACAAATCAGACATCCAACCCATAATCGCAAGGACTCAATTGAAAGAGCAAGAACTCTACCAACTGAGCTCTATCCTCTGAGCCAAGGGAAGCATGCATGAAGTAGTCAAAGGCTTCATTTCTTATTCATATTTAGAGCTACTCTAGGCTACTCAAGGAGGTGGAATGTTTTTATACGATACAAACAATATAATAACTATCTTTGTAGATAAATGTGCTCAACCTTTATCCTTGGTGAATGTCTTCTTGATGTTGTATAAACAAGACATGGCAAAACTACAGGGAAAATTTTGTATATTACTTAGATGTAATAGTCACAAAATCTCCTCTACTTGACTAAAAACTTGGTGAAATAAAGAAGGAATAAATAAGCAGTAGAAGATACACTTAGAGATACTCATGAGGCACCATTTTCAGTATTTCTCAAACGTCTTCTCAACCAAGAAGAAATTTTGAGTTATTGACACAAAAACAGTTTACACTGAAAGACAACTTCCAAGACTGATAAAAAGAGGTGCTTAATGGATTGGACAGTTTAGCATCTAACCTTTTATGGGCTGGTCTCTTGGACCTTGTGCTGGACTTCCAAAATGGGCCAGTACAATCATATGGACTATTTGCTAAATGAAATATGTGGGGTTCACATGAATCCAGTAAAAAATCCATAAAACATCTATAAATATTTGACTGTGAGCAGAAGCGGATCCAAGAATTAGGCTATATAAATTCAGTCTTTAAGGTGGGTCCTTAAAATTGAGCCCAATATATTTTAAAAGTTATCAATTCTTTATTGCTATATCAATGAATTTTTACATATGAATTAATGTTTGAACGTACTGGGTGGGTTCAAATGAACTGGTAACTTAAAATCCTAGTATCAATATTAAGGCTGTGTGTGGTGAAAGGGTGCAGCGTAGGTTTTTATACAAGGTCTCAAGACTGCTCCTTTCTCTGGGATTTGCCACTCCAATGTCAATCTTCATCACACCCCAGGACAGAGGCAGACCTACTCCTAGGGTAGGAGTGTCACGTACCCCCGATAACCTCAAAAAAGATATACACATACATGTAATTTTGATTGGCACTCTCTATCACAAAGGTCAGGTAGTTCCATTGGTTGATACAGGATGCACAAATGATCCTTAAGTGCACAGATCTGGATTTAATTCCCACTCCAACATATTTTTGTAGCCACAGACCAGTAGTGCCCGCACTACTCTCAAATGCACTACTCTCAAATTCTGCGTCCGCCTTCACCCCAGGACCAAGAAAGTTTCCATTGGAGTTGCAATTCAAATCAGCCTATGGCCTTCCATCCTAGAGGTCACCAGCACCCAGCAAACTGGTACATGCTCTGCTATATTTTGAGAATCTTGTGATTTTTCTTCCATTCGGGAAGTTAATGCTAGTATGAATGTATGATACCTCTCCGCAACAAATTAATCAACTATACCAAAATCGCAAATCAATTAAAATTGCATTACAGGCAAGGGAAGAAATATTTTTGTACAGGGGAGTCAAAATCATGGTATAGATAGGTCAAAATTCACTTTTATGTGTTTAGATATTTTTATGTTGATCTCCTTAGGTACTGATTATATATACTTCTTTATATTTTAATTCTACTTGGTGAAAATTTTGGTTCCACCACTATTTATAGGAATCCTCTTTGTCCATTGCAATTCATGATTCAATGAATTCATATCAACTACAACTATTTCTTTTACTTTATTCAGGTAGTTCAATCAAGATTTTTGAGAATTAGACCGATCAAGGCACAGAAAGCAGGTAAAAGATATCCATTACAAGGATATCTCAATCTCCTCTTCTGCCCTACTTCATGCCAATCCTCTTTCCTTCCCAAAGAGCCGATCAGGGCATGGCATTCGATACATCAACATGTTCATTGCTTTCCACTAGAAAATCAGATTCAATAGAACCCGTTAATTAACTAACATCAGATTATGTAGCACGGGAGAGAGCAGGAAAATGACAACGGCGTTCATTCTAATGTAACCCAAGCATAACGATTACTGTAGGTATCCAAAACTTAGGAATTTTATTCCAGCATAATTATATGTAATTATGTGACTTTACAGCTTACTGGTTTGAGCCGTGCAACATCACACCCCTTGGGTGTGTGGCCCTTCCCTGGACCCTGCTAGCACGGGATGTTTTATTCACAGGACTATTTTTTACTAAACAAAGTGGTTCTGTAGAAGCCAAGATTTACAAATGTCTAGTACAATCATATGGCAACATATTACAAAACGTATATGATATAGTATCGCGTAATAAATTACTACTATTATATTTCCTATTACATCTCACATGGATGCAAATTATTTACAACATCAAAACATATAGATACTTTTATAGTTCTTTAAAACAACAACACAAAAAGGCAAATATGCAGCATATCAAAGCAAAGATGCTTCAATCGAAGTAGTGATGCAGGAACTTACGAATACCTCTCATGAATCCACCTTTCTTCTTTTCCCTCTTATGCCACTTATTCTCTTCCATATCTTTTTCCTCTTCTTCACCATTGTTATAATGAAAACGCTTCCTCAAATTCATTTCATGGTGCTTTGCATAAAGCTTTGATCTTTTGTCAGACTCATCATTAACATGATGAGCAACAAATTGATTTTCATTTTTCGATTTAATCTCACCAAAATTACCTTGATTTTCACGATTGATTTGAGACATCGAGATCTGCCTCTGTTCGTGATCATTGTCTTCGTTTTCGTCATGGTGATGGTGGTGATGAGGTAATTGATCCTTCAATTTCATTTCCCCAAAATTCTCGCGATCATATAGGAACTTCCAGATCTTCTTATCATTGTACCGATGGTGGCGGAAACTGAACGGATCCGACGGAATCTGACGCACACCAATACGGTTCACAAACTTCTCAAAGTCAATGTTTCTCTTAGAAGGCAGTATCATATCATTACCAAAAGGGATCTGACGCTGTGATCCCGGCTTCAGGTGGTGACATAGGCGGAACGGTAGGCTCGATCGGAGCCTGAATCGACGGTTAATCGGCCGGAATCTGACTAATGTAACCGGGACCGAATGGACGGAACGAGTGTCTTCGTGATCGGATTTACTAGGGATGTTAACAGCAGGCGCAGAACCATCTGATTCCGGTAGAGTATGAGGAAGTTCTGGGATGACGACGTCATTTTCCGAAGGAAGTTTGAGGTGTGTGACGTCATTTTCCGGTTGAGTAAACGGAGTACGAGCAAGTGAAAGGTTGAAAAAGAGGAAAAGGACAGCAACGAAGAGTTTCGCCATGGTGAAAAGTAAAAATTGTTGAAAGAAGATGAATCGAATTCGGTATATATAGGGTGGGGTGACGGGCAGTTCGGGCAGGTGGTGTAGAATAGAAAGAGAGGTTAATGGGGCAACGGGCAACTCGGTTACCACCACCACGTGGCTGGAACTGAAATCACCCGCTAATATTCTCGGGTTTTTTTAACTGAATCTTATACATACACCAAATATAATTATTAATTTTTGGTTAGAAATCTAATCCTAAATTTAATTTGAGATATTTCATGCTATATCATCGAACTTGAAATTATTTTATCTTTAACCCTTAAGAGCCAAGTAGAACAAATAATTCAAAAATTATAATCCCATCATAATTTAGTTTGCGTACCAAACTGTATGAGCATTTAACATAATTTTTTTGTGACATAAATTTAAATTAATTGAGTTTAAAAACGAAGATCTAAGTACTAACACAAAATGAGCCAACAAAAAATAAAAAACTATGCAATTTCACTCCACGTCGATCAAGAAAAAACCAAGATTCGAATACGTTTTCTTATTAAAGTGTTAAGTTTGAATATCTAGGTGGTTTCCCCATATTCCCAGTTCTACAGTTTTATGTCTTAATCAGTAATCAATATAGGAAATGACCAATACTTTTCATATTACAGATATTTTTTCCTCAATATAATTAAATAACAATATACCGATAAGGACTATAATATGGTGACATGTATCCTTAATCAGCAAATTATCTTTATTAAAAAGTAATTTACATTCAATATTAAATTTGAATTTTAAAAAAATAGCAATATGTTTCATAGACCATGTCTTGTTCCACCTTTTTCTGCACCTTCCAGGTAAGTATATTCCATATGCAGAGAAATCACTCTAGTGTAATATTTTTAGCTTATTCAAGATGGCTGTAGTTTCCTTTCGAGCCTTTATAGGACAGTCGTCTATAGGTGGTAGGATAGGTCCTTGCTATATTATACGTCATCCCATTTTATGTAAAAATATTTCTAGTCTCTAGGAAGTTAAATAAGTAACTTTTTTATTTTATGTGATACTTTTCACATTTTTAGATTTAAATTTCTTAGTTTTGACCATAACATAGAACTTTTCAGTTGACACTTCTAACTAAGTGTGTGTATATATATATATATATATGCCTATTTATAAAAAAACAAGTTGTCACTTAAAAAGTATTTTTCTTTTGTATGCCGAGTATATATTATTGTATGCGGACATACAAACAAAATACATATAACCATTGTTACTTTTTGAAGATTTTGTATCTGTAAAATATTGGTGTCCATTGGTCTCCATCTTACTAATAGAAGGAAAGGACGAGGAAAGGGAGGTTTTGAATTGCTCAGAAGTTTGTCTTCATTAATTTCCACACATCTAAACACTCAGAAAAATCATTCTAAGACCTTCACTTTGACCGTTTCCGCTTATATTAGATCTAACCAACTGCTCATCCTAAATTCTCCGGGTAATCTTTTGTCAATAGCAATTCACTCATAAATCATACGTAAGTTCATATCGTGGATATAATTCTGTATAATCTAAGTTTTAGTGTGCAACTTCAGTTCAGGGGTATCAACATCAATCAAGAAAACTAAAAGACACCCTTGTCTTTAACATGGATTACGACTCGCTCATCAATAAGCTAACTCAAGGCATGGAACACACTAAGCAGCTCAGAACTTACCTGAGCTCCGTAGCTTCCACTTCTAAAGCGATTCCAGAATTGCTTCTGCAAAAGATTCTTTCTTCTTATGAACAATCTCTGTTAATTCTCAAATGGAGTGGCTCACCAGTCCAATCCGTTCCAGCAGCTCCTGCAATCGAATCAATGGTATCTGGTGATGTAAAACCTAGGAGTGATGACAACAAAAGGAGTTCCGAAGATCATCAGAAGCTCATACATATTTCAAAAAGAAGGTATTTTATACTCTCTCCATTCCATCTGAACAACTCCTTGTACTTTATATTCCCTCCATCCACTTTTACTTGTCTGCTATACTAAGAGTAGATGTCAACTTTTATATGTCTAGCTTAAAAATTTGTGAGATAATTTATCATCTAGTTCCTAATTTACCCTTATTATTAATTATAATCATTTTCAAAAACATTGAAATTATTATGTTCAAACAGATGATGTAGTAAAAGTACGTATTTTATGTGACACTTTCCCCTTTCGTTCTCAGGGGTCACTTGGTTGGTCTGAGATTTAAACTTTACATAAAATAGATTGCATTTTAGTTATTATATTATAAAACAATAAATGCATACATATTTGGATAAGGTTGTTATTAGATAGCAAGAGTGAACGTTACAACCGTGGTTGTTGGTGATAGGTAAAAATCTGTTATATAAAGGTAAAATATCGATTTCAAAGAAAATTTGACTGTTATATTTAGCATAATGCTAGTATTATAGATAATGCCTATTATACAAAAGTTTGACGGTATGTTTAGAATCTATGGTGCTACTCTTTAAAATTCCAAAGGGTGTGTATCGGAGAAAAGACCATCAATAGTCACTTAACTATAAGAGTAGATCTAAAATAGTCCATTAACTTTACTTTTGTCGAATTTAGTCTATCAACTATTCTAAAACTTGTCAAATTTAATCCCTTAAAATACATTTTTTGGTTTTTAGTCCCTTAACTATACATTTATCAGTTTTAATCCTTTAAGTATTTAAAAACTGATCAGATTTAGTCTTTGTTCATTTTTTATACAACTAACTTAGATTTATATTAACGAAATTCATGTCTAGAAAATTAAATCATTTAGCAATTTTTTCAATTGTCTCTTTCCCCGCTACTTTTTCTTCAAAATACTCTTATGCAAAGAACCTTAACCTCAACGATTTAAAATATAATTCATGAGAAGAGAAAATAAAAATCATAACTTTATTCAACGGACGATAAAATGGAACATATTATTGTTATTAATGACTTGAATATGCTAAACTTTATTATAAAAAAAAATATTACCCATTAAATTCAAAATTTGTACTCCAACGACTTTATTGAAGGAAATTTGTTTAATCTTTCAGAGTATGAAATTTCTAAATTGATACATTTGCAACTTTTTTTATTATTATTTTTAAATAGATTGATTTTATTATTCTATTCATTTTATTTTACGTAGAGAAATTTGAGTAATAAGAGCAAATCTCTTATATTTATTTTGTATGAAAAATAAGATTAAAAAAATTCGCACTGATTATGAACCGTTAATCGCCAAAGAAGGGAACACAACATATTCAAGTCATTAGCAACAATTATATGCTTCATTTTATCCTCCATTGAATAAAATTAGGACTTTATATCTTCTTTTCTCATTAATTTTATTTTGAATCGTTCAGGTTACTGTTCTTTTCCTTAGAGTAATTTGAAGAAAAAGTAGCGGGAATAGAGAAACAACTTAAAAAATGGGTTAAAGATTTAATTTCACGAAGAGTTCCGTTAATATAAACCCAAGCTATTTGTATAAAAAGTGGACAAAGACCAAACCTGATAAGTTTTTGAATACTTAAAGGACTAAAATCGGTAAGTGTATAGTTAAGGGACCAAAACAAATAAGTTTTGAATACTTAAAGGACTAAAATCGGTAAGTGTATAGTTAAGGAACCAAAACTGATAAATTTTTGAATAATTAGAAGACTAAATCTGACAAAAGTATAGTTAAGGGCTAAGTTGCTCGGACTCTCCAAAATGATGTCGCACCCGTGTCAGATCCTTCAAAAAATACACTATTTTTGGAGGATCTGACATGCACCCGTCAACATTTTGAAAGAGTCCGAACAACATAGGTTAAGGGACCATTTTAGACATACTCTTATAGTTAAGGAATTATTTATGGCATTTTCTCGCGTGTATCACATCCTCCAAAAGTAGTATATTTTTAGAGGATTCAATACAGGTGCAACAACAATTTTTGAGAGTCCAAGCAACATAATTTAAAACCGGAAGTCCTAGGACTATATGTGTTGAAAGTCCTTTCTTTCTTTTAACTACAGTTTTGGAATCATTTTTCTATGTGAAGTTACCTGGTTTTTATGGGTGTCAGCAGAAAACCATACTTTTCCGAACAAGTAAGAGTCAAATCTGAGAGTGAAGTTGAAGGTCCTCAGGATGATGGATATAGCTGGAGAAAGTATGGGCAGAAAGATATTCTTGGAGCTGTGTTTCCAAGGTAATAAGTCAATTTCAATACCCTGAATAAAAATCATAAATTCATAAAAAATACTTGAAAGAAAATCGAACTTTTCAATCGATAAACTATGATTCAATCCTAACTCAGTTGAAGTACGTTATGCGAATCCTTTACATACATTCTGCTGTATTCAGATTCATTTAATTTCAATACTAAATATAAATGCACTAACTAAAATCATGCTATGTACTTCTCAGCTTTAAATTTCGCAAGTTCTTATCCTCTTTTAGTGATTCAGCTGCTTTATATGTACATAATTTAGAAAACAACAGCATACAACAAGAGCCATATGTATTGATGTTGAGTTTTACATATCTTTACAGAGACTGCTATAGATGTACATCTCGTCACATGCAAAGGTCTGATGTTGATCGTACTGTATTTGAGATCACAAACAAAGGCTACCATACTTGTCTGAGACACCAAGTTACTAACTCTACACTACAAGCAACATCGCCAGAGAAAGAAGCCAGCCATCACGGCGTGATAGTAGGTGGATGTTCATCATCTTTTGTCTCTCCTACAACCCCTGAATCAAACTACTTGTCAATCTCTAACTGCCAGATGAATGGTCTTGGAATAGCTCACAACTTAGACCATTCAGAATCATACCCCAGTGATATTGGACTATTTCGTGACTTGCACCATTCAGACTCAGACCGCACTGATATCTCCGCCAACACTTCCACAACAAGTTCTTCAATGGGTGGTGAGTTTGCTAGATTATCTGGAGGTAGACCCGATTTTTCCATTTGGACAAAACGACATCCCCAGACCAAAGCTAATACTCCCCAAAAGGATGATAAGGATGAATAGTTTTGATCTTATCACCAAGTTACTCTATCGAGATTGCAAAATTTAGCAATAAATCTAGCAGGTTGCAGATTAGAAACTAGCTATGATATTAGTACCAATAGTCTACTGTGTTGTTTCAAGGGCTGAGTGAAATTCAAGGATATTCTAGCAAAAAGTTATTAAATATTCATGAATTTTATATAGCTACAGACAATTTGGATAGGCTTATGTTCGTGTACAATCATAAGCAACCCAATTCGTTTGGGCTACACTATCATCAGTCATGTCTTCGTTCAACTTAAAGTCCACATTAGGACTATGTGATATATTCTCCCCGTCCTAGCTTGAGGGGGAGTGTTGAGATAAAGGGAAAAAAGAAGGTTGTTAGTATGTTTAATTAAAGTTAGTTGTAACTAACTATTAGTTAGTTATGTAGTAACGGTAACAAATCTCCTTATATAAGGGAGATTGTGTCATTAGTGAATGTAAGTTTTTCATTGTATTCAGATTCTACTAATAAGAGAACAAACTGTTTCTTCTTTCTTTCTTCTTCTCCTTTCTTCTCTAAGTTCTGGAACTGATTTCCAAGAACAATTTCATGGTATCAGAGCTATAGGCAAGAGCTTCTTGCTAATTCTTTCGAACCTACATTCAGAGCTTTCAATTGTGGTGTAAAGTGTAAATCAAGATCTGAGATCTGGAGAATTTCACGATGGTGAGTACAGAAACTGAAGTCGCAGCATCAACTAGTCATGGCGGGTCTCAGCCTAGTGTGATCGATTACAACCATTCCCTGTTTCTCAATCCATCAGATGTCAGTGGTGTCCAAATCATATCGTTTCAACTTACAGAGACTTTCAAGATGAAAGATTTAGGGGAGTTAAAATTTTTCCTTGGTATTGAATTTGCAAGGTCTGACAAAGGAATACTAATGCATCAAAGGAGGTATGCATTAGAACTATTGGCTGAATTGGGATTAGGAGCAGCTAAGCCAGCTGGGGCTCCCATAGACTATAACCTAAAACTAACCTCAAAACAGTTTGATGATCATGTCAAGCACATGAAACCAGATAATGATCCTCCTACTGATCAAAGGGCATATCAAAGGTTGGTTGGGAAACTGCTTTATTTAACAATGACCAGGCCTGATATAGCATTTAGTGTACAAACTTTAAGTCAGTTTCTACAAAGTCCAAAAAAGTCACATATGGAAGCTGCAGTTAGAGTGGTAAGGTATGTTAAAAATCAGCCTGGGTTAGGAGTTCTTTTGTCTAGTAGTTCAGAAGAGAAGGTCAGTGCTTATTGTGATGCTGATTGGGCATCTTGTCCACAAACTAGAAGGTCTGTAACTGGTTATTTTGTGAAGCTGGGAGATTCAATAGTTTCTTGGAAGTCAAAGAAACAGGCTACAGTTTCCAGAAGCTCTGCAGAAGCAGAGTTCAGAAGTCTTGCAGCTGTTGTAGCAGAACTAGTATGGATACTAGGTTTAATGAAGGAAATTGGAAGTGAGGTAACACTCCCAGTTTGTGTCTTCAGTGATAGCAAGTCTGCAATGCAAATAGCAGCAAATCCGGTTTATCACGAAAGAACAAAACACATTGATGTTGATTGTTATTTCATCAGGGAAAAAATTCTGCAAGGAGTTATTACTACAAGTTATATTTCAACACAAGAACAGCCAGCAGATATGCTGACTAAGGGGCTTACTAGAGTTCAGCACAACAATCTTAATTCCAAGCTAGGACTATGTGATATATTCTCCCCGTCCTAGCTTGAGGGGGAGTGTTGAGATAAAGGGAAAAAAGAAGGTTGTTAGTATGTTTAATTAAAGTTAGTTGTAACTAACTATTAGTTAGTTATGTAGTAACGGTCACAAATCTCCCTATATAAGGGAAACTTGTGTTATTAGTGAATGTAAGTTTTTAATTGTGTTCAGATTTTTACTAATAAGAAAACAAACTGTTTCTTCCTTCTTTCTTCTTCTTCCTCTCTTTCTCTAAGTTCTGGAACTGATTTCCAAGAACAATTTCACACATCCGCGTTAATCTAGTCGCAATTGCATAGATATATTACTAGCTTGGTTGTAAACGCACCAGTACCAAGGGGAGAGCAAACATAATGAGAAAGTGATTCTCTAACCTGCCTCAAAAGCCTCCCACTTATATTAAGTGTGACACACAAGTTATGAATATCAATTGTGATTGTATAGATCGCCATAAACAGAAGCAGAAACTTCTTAAATCCCCAAATTATGACTACTTTGAAACAAATTGAATCAATTTTTCGAGAAAAAAAAATACAGTGAAATTGGAAATCAAAGGGAAAAATGCAAATTAAAACACTAAAACCTAGATATAGCTGAAACTAGAGAATCAGGAACTTGCAATTTCAAGGCATAATCAAAGCAGCACTGGAAGAAAAGTTGACAACTAATACTCAGATCAATTAAGTTCAACTACTTCCGCTTCAGATTTCAATTAAGATTCTGTATACTACAGATAAATCTCCATAAACAAAAGTAAAAGTTTCTTAAATCCCCAAATTATGACTACTTTGAAACAAATTGAATCAAAAAAAAAAAAGAAATACAGTAAAATGTGAAATTCAAAGCCAAACATGCAAATCAAATAGTTATGTGGTACTTTGATTTGAAAGTACTTTACACTCGATATGAAAGTTCTCAACGTCAATTTGAATTTTAAAAACATAGCAATATGTATCATAGACCATAAGTCTTCTTCCACCTTTTTTGCACCTTCCGGGTAAGTGTATTCCATATGCAAGGAAATCACTCCAGTGTAACATTTTTAGCTTATTCAAGATCACTGTAGTTTCCTTCCGAGCCTTCATAGGACAATCGCCTATAGGTGGTAGGGTAGGTCCTTGCTATATTATACTTTATCCCATTTTATGTAAAAATATTTCTAGTGTCTAGGAAGTTAAATAAGTAATATATATATATATATATATATGCGCACGCGCCTATTTATAAAAAAAAAAAAAAAAAACAAGTTTTGTCACTTAAAAAGTATTTTTCTTTTGTATGCCGAGTATATATTATTGTACGTGAACATATGGTAACAAACAAACAAAATACATATAACGATTGTTATTTTTTGGAGATTTTGTATATGAAATATTGGCTCCATCTTACTAATGGAAGGAAAGGACGAGGAAATGGAGATTTTGAATGGGTCAAAAGTTTCTCATTAATTTCCACACGTCTAAACACGAAGAAAAATCATTTTAAGACCTTCACTTTTACCGTTTCCGCTATACTAGATCTAACCAACTGCTCATCCTAAATTCTCTGGGTAATCTTTTGTCAATGGCAATTCACTCATAAGTCATAAGTAAGTTCACTCTGTTTTATTCATTTATTTTGATAACCGAGAAGTCCCCGAGCACCAGCAGCACACAACTTGAAACTCAGTGGATAATGGTTCTGTCCTTCTACCCTTTTCCACTTTAATACAAGATTTTGTTTGCGGGGTTCAAACCTAAAAAGGGAGCCTAATCCACACATCACAATTCACAAGTGCACTCCTGCCATTATACCAAGGCATGGGCCCAAACATGAAATATTTAGCCACAACTCAAGAAGTTAGAGGAAATATAAAAATTTCAAACCAAGAAACATTATGACTTCTTCGCAGATAAAGAGTTGACACTGTACTCAGATCACTTGAATGTAACTACCAAGTGTTTGTCGGGAGGGTTCGAACCTATGAAGTGTGCCTAACCAACACATCACAAGCAGGCTCTTACTGATAGACCAGAGCCCTAGGACGATAAAACATGATATGTTTACATTCACAACTCCAAAAGTAGAGGGGAAGTATAAATATCTCAAACCTGGAAACATTATGAAACCTTCCTCAAGATAAGAGTTGATACTAATACTTCCAAACATAGATGCTAATGAAACGAATACCCACAAAGCAGAGAAAAAAATCAAATCCCTAAACTGGAAACAAATGAAACAAGAGAAGAAGTAAGCTTAGGAGTCATTTGGTTCGCGGGCAAAGTTATCTCAGGATTATATTCCTGCAATTATAATCTTGGGACTAATTTATCCCGCCTAAGAGGTTGAATAAAATAATATTAAGTTAGATGGGATAAGGTGGGATATCCAAGATTAAGGTTGGGATCAAATTTATACTCTATGTTGGGTTGAAGATATAAATTTATTACTTCAACCAAACAGAGTACAATTTTAATGTTGAACTTAATCCTGAGATATCTCACCTTATCTCATCCAACTTAATATTATTTTATTTCATCCCCGGGTGGGATAAATTAGTCACAGTACTATAATAGTAGGATTATAATCCCCAGATAACTTTGTCCGTGAACCAAACGACCCCTTAGCTCCTTCTACTCTCGTGAGATAAATCTATACCTTCAACCAAACACAATGTATAAATTTGATCCTATACCACTTTATCTCACATACCAACCAACACCTTTTACATTTTAAATTTCCAAAACTCAAAGCACTGAAATAAAAAATATCAACGCTCATTTTGAACCACTGATCGAAAAGTTGACAGCTAATACTCAGATAACTTAAGTCTAACTACTTCCACTATGGATTTCAATTGCGACTGTATATACTACAGATAAATCTCCATAACAAAAAGCAAAAGCTTCGTAAATTCTCAAATTATGACTACTTTGAAATAAATTGAATCTATTTTTTTTAAAAAAAAACACTTACAGAGTAATGTGCAAATCAAAGCTAAACATGCAAATCAAAACACTAAAACCTGGATATAACTGAAACTAGAGAACAAGGAACTTATAATTTTAAGGCATAATCAAAGCAGCACTGGAAGAAAAGTTGACAATTAATACTCAGATCGCTTAAGTTTAACTACTTCCACTCCAGATTTCAATTGCAATTGTGTATACTACAGATAAATCTCCATAACCAGAAGCAGAAGCTTCTTAAATCCCCAAATTATGACTATTTTGAAACAAATTGAATCAAACAAAAAAAATACAGTGAAATGAGGAAATCAAAGTGAAGCATGCAAATCAAAACAATAAAACTTAGATATAGCTGAAACTAGAGAATAAGGAACTTACAATTACAAGGCATAATCAAAGCAGCACTGGAAGAGAAGTTGACTACTAATACTCAGATCACTTAAGTTTAACTACTTCCACTCAGGATTTCAATTGCGATTGTATATACTACAGATAAATCTTCATAAACAGAATGACTACTTTGAAAGTTGAAACAAACTAAATCAAACAAACAAATACAGTGAAAATGTGAGAATCAAAGCGAAGCCTGCAAA